AAAAAAAAAAAAGGCTACTTTCCATTTTGGGAATGAACCTGATGCATTCGAAAGGCTCTTCTCTGGGGAAAGTCCCTCTCCTCTCACTTTTGAGAAGCTGGCCAGCTGGACTTACAAACCTTCAACCACAGCAAGCCTTCCTTCTAGGTCAGCTGTAAAACTGGAAGGCACTAGCAGTATGTGGAGGGAGGGGCAAAAAAAGGCCTCTTACCAGCAGGAAAATGACAATCTCGCCCCCTAGTGACCAGGGCGATAAAAGAGAAAAAGCAAACATTCATACAAGGTGTGAACACTATTAAGAAGACGCACTACTACTAAAATAATAATTTTATTCAGGGAATAAAATGTGGCACAAGGTCCTTGCTTACAAATTTCCAGCTGAAGTTGCCTTGGGGATAATCTGCTCACTCAGCTGAATAAAAGGTGCCAGGTGAGCTGACTGGACAAGCTCATCTGTAGTAACTCTGAAAGTCTCCTTTAGAGGTAGGCAGGCTAGTATTTCATCCACTTTACCAACCCTGAAGCATAACAACCTTTACGTTTCTTGTCTCTCCTGACCTCCATGAATCTATTTAAAGACCTTATTCTAAAGGTAAAAAGAAGTTGACACCAATGATGACAAGAGTCAGAGGGCGGCAATCATGATTATTTACCTGTCTGTGGCTCACTTGACTGTTACGTAAATCAAGACACTTGCTGACTTTCAAGTCCTCACCACTGAAGTAGTAAAGTGGTAGAAGTAATAACAGTATTGGATTCGTTCAGGTCCCACAACTTACAGTTTTCCAACTTCCTGCTATGTATGTGTGTATGTGTCAAGTGTGTGTGTGTTTCCCCTACTCCATAAGTTAATGGCTCTCAAATTTGATCTTTTTTCCCCACAAAGAGCTACAGGAGTTTGAGAGCTAAGACTTCCTAAATGTGGGTATTTTCACAAAACACCCAGATAAAAGACTGCTGGCTGAAATGAACCTGAGACTTTATCCAAGTAGGTGACATTCTGGGGCAATGAGTCTGTGTGACCATAGTTACTTGCATCAAGTCCCATGTCTTTCCGTTCCAGAAGGCTGACCCTGAAGAGTGGCATCAAATCTCAGAAGTAGGAGGGGCAAGCCTCAAGTTTTGCCTTTGAGGGATGGCCATACTACCCAAAGGTTATGGGTTGGACGCTTATGTGTTGGTCTTTATGCAATTGCTTGGCCCGATTTTTGAGCGCTTCGGCCTTGGCCTCATCTTTATCCACACCATCCCCCAATTTGTACATGCGGCTAGCATTGGCGCAGGCCCAAACATGGCCCAAGTCACAGGCTCTCATTGAGTAACTGCAGGCCTGGTTCAGGTCCTTGGGGAAACCAGGGGCGCCCTGGAGGAACATGGCACTGAGATTGAAGCAGCTGGCAGCATAATTGCCCTCACAGGCCCTTGTGTAGTAGTCCCTGGCCTTCCCTAGGTCAGGTTGGCCATCTTCATTGACCTGGCCATCATGTGCCAGGAGACCAACATTATGACAGGCCTCCATAGACTTCCTTCCGGGCTTCTCACAAGCCATCAAAAAGCAATCAGAAGCAGCTTTCAGGTCCTGGGTCAGTCCACCTGGGAGAGAGGAAAGGTTAGAAAATGTCTGATCAAGCCAGTGTGGAATTTGAATGTCTCAGACTAAAGTTAGGGAAGTCTTCTTAATAAAATCCACACATTATGAGAGAAGACAGCAAGAAAGGAAGGTAGCCTGCTACAGCACACACATTTTCCAGTTTGGGCCATGGAATCTTAGGTAATGAAGACGACCAGACAGGTAAATAAAAACCAAACAAACCAACAAGTGGAAATAAAAATATCTACCTCATGGAGTTAAAGTAAGCATTTGTCATCATTTAAGCATTTAATTAAATTAAATGTTCATTAAAATACATACCAACACAATATTTTCCATTACTGTATTAGATCTTACTGAACGGACACTGCCCCTGCCCACATGGATCTTACAAGTTAATAAAAATAAGACATTAAATAACCATACAAATTTTGACAAATAATGCCAGATGAGTATCTTCATATAACTTCTTTCTACATTTCCAGTTATTTACCGAGAAAATGATGCTTGGAGAATTACTAGTTCAAGAAATGCTCTTCTGCTCCCAGAAGGGAATCTGGTATTTCTGTTGAAATATTCTAAATGAAGACTGCCAAAGACACCCCTCTCCCCCATATCTCGTGTGAAAGCAGAAATGATCCACAAACAGCTACAGAGAATTAATCCTCTTTCACAGAGTACCTTTCTAAACTGGGGTTTTGCCGTGCACTGTGATTAAAAAGAATTAATGCCTTTGAGTTATCATGCTGAAGAAGAGTACTGTCATTTTGGACTGCCAAAAAAACAAACAGCTATGTCCTGGAAAGCATGCGGCCAGAGTGTTCCTTGGAGGCAAAGATGACTAAGCTTTATCTTTTGTACTTTGAACATGTAACTAGGTGAGGTTATTTCTTGGAAAGGGGCATGATGCTTGGAAAGATGGAAGGTTGGTGAAGGAGAGGAAGACCCCCAATGGGATGGACTGATGGACTGACCCTGTGAATTCAGCAATGGGCTCTAGCGTCTCAGAGATGATGAGGTGGCACAGGATAGGGCAGGTTTTCAGAATGGCTGTTCATAGGATCACTATGAATTGTACTGGACTTGACGTTACCTAACAACAACAATCATTCTCAAGAACATGTCCTGGAGCTCTGGTGGCCTAGTGGCAAGAAGATGCACTGTAATCTCAAAGGCATGTGGTTTGAAGCCACCAGATTCTCCACTGGAGAAGGAGGGGTAATCTACTGTGGCAGTTTGATCTGATGGTTGTTGTTGTTATGTGCCATCGAGTCGTTTGCGACGCATAGCGTCCTATGCACAACAGCCCTAAACCCTGCTCTATCCTGCGCCAACAGCACTGCCTCTGACACACCCATCCCGATTACCCCAGTCACCAAATCAATCCATCTCATAGAGGGTCTTCCCCTCCTGCGCTGTCCCTCCACCCTCCCAAGCATGATGTCCCTCTCCAAGGACCCGTCCCTCCTGGCAACATGTCCAAAGTATGTCAGCCGAAGCCCCAGAATCCTTGCCTCCAAGGAGTAGCTTGGTTTAATCCTCTCCAAGATGAATCTGTTTGTTTTCCTGGCAGTCCAGGGTACATTCAGTACTCTTCTCCAGCACCACAGCTCAAAAGCATCCACTCTCCTTCTGTCCTCCCTAGTCATTGTCCGACTCTCTGATGCATAACAAGTGATTGCAAAGACCATGGCCTGCATGATTTAGTGAAGAGAAGAAATACTTGTCTATTAAAGATAATGAACCCTCTATGTGGTGCACTCAACTACCAGCTGACAGGCTACCCAGGAGCATCTCAGAAGACAAACCTAGAAATCTGGAAATGTACTTTGAAAAAGATACAGCCTGACTCTGGCTTCGCAGCAGATCTACTCTGCACAACCAGATTGTCATGAAGCTGAATAGCCCTGACAGTAGCTAATAACACGAGAGATATTTCCTACTTATGTGGCTTCAAAATGCCCATAAATCCTTTCATATTCCTCCTTTCAAGGAGTAGATTTTCATTCCTTCCCACTTAATGTAGGCTAGATTTAATGACTTTCAGCTAATAATAACTGAATGTGATATAAAAGAAAAAGTTTGTCTTTTAAGGGTAGAGAAGAAACCTTGCTGATTCCATCTTGTTCTATCTTGGATCCACTTGATCTGGGGAAGCCAGGTGGCATGTCATGAGGACACTCCAACAGCCCAAGGGAGGAGCCACATGGCAAAGAACTGAGGCTTCTGCTAACATGAATAAAGCATCTGAGACTTGACCCCAGCCTTCAAGTGACTGCAGCCACAGCTGATGTAAAGAACAACTTTGCTAAGCTGCTCCCAATTTCCTAACCCATAGAAACTGTAAGATAATAAATATCTGTTGGAGTAATTTGTTATTTAAGAATCAATAACAAAATACTATTCTAGTGATAGCTGCAATTAGGCCATGAGAAGGAAAAAAAATAGAAGAAAAGGAGTTAATAATTATTGATCCCTAACTCTGTGCCAGGCATTGTGCCAATGCCTTTAAGTACCTTATCTGATGTAATTCTGACCAACAACTAGGTGACTCACAGCGACCCTATAAATGAAAGTCCTCAACACTTGTATGACTTTCATCCTTTCTCCAGGTTCAGAGGGTTTCCAGAGGCAAGCGATTTACCGAACTGGATGCCACTCCTTCTTCCAAGAACAACCTTATGAGACAAGCAATATTTTTCCTATTTTATAGGTGATGAAATTAGGGCACAAAGTTGAAGTGAATGGTTCAAATGTCCCACACCTTGCAAACAGCATCCTTTCAGGTTTGTCAAACTGGAAAGACAGTGTTCTTCCCTCATTGTTCTGAGTTCTGTAAATCCTCCTACAATGTGCCTCCCCAGTGCATGTGAGGACTTCTCTGTGAAGAAGGTTCAGTGATGCCAAACAGTGATACCAACAAGGATCAAGGAAAGCAGAATTTTCCTTACCTTTTCCTAACATATAATAAGACCCCAGTTTGTAGCAGCTATCACTGTGCTGGTACTCTTCACAGTTGAATTTCAACACCTTGGCAGCCTCATCAAAATTCTTCTGGATCCCTTCCAAGTAATCTACCAGACGATAGCAACCTGTGAAGAGAGGAAAGAGGGCTGTTTTTCACATCTGAGGCTGCTGCTAGATAGTGGGGTGGACCTAGGTGTTGCAACCTGGCCTTACCAGGAAGAATGTAGACATCATTCCACCACTCCTACTAATGTCACTATCTCTCCTTAACTAAAGAATGAGCAACATAAGGACTGAAGAGACCTGGGCCCCTACACTACCTTCACCACTCACCTGGCCCGGAGCTTCCTGTCAGTCAGTCCCAAGGGTCAACCAACTTCCAGGATTGAAACTTGCCAGCTTCAGAATTTCCTTTTAGAAGTAAAACACTGGAAACCAAAAGAACCACTAGGCTAATCTCTGTAGCTACAAGAAAGGTCTGCTGAGGTGACTGTACCTTGATGACACAATGGAAAAGGACTCAGCTGCTAACCTAAAGATCGGCAGTTCTTCTCTGTAAATGTTCATTAAAATTTAATAATAATAAAAAAAGATTAGCAATTCTAATTAATCAGTCTTCTCAGGAAGAAACATGAGGTAATCTGCTTTTGTACAGAAATACAGGTCAAAGAATATCTATGGGAAGTTATACACTGTCCTATAGAGTCAGGATTAACTGGATTGCAGTGGTTTTTTTTTTAATTTTACTACTGTTGTTGTTGTTTACCATCGAATCAAAATCAACCCATAGCTGACCTTCGGTGGGTTTTCAGAGGCAGTTAACTCCATGGGAGTTAACTGTTCATCCTTCTGCAGAGCAGCTGGTGGCCTCAACCTGTGTGCCCTCAGGATTGCAGCATAGCTTCTTGCTACTAGGCCACCATAACATTAGGATTTTATTACCTAAAGCCCCAAGAATGGTGGTTGTAGTGGAGTTATGTGCCATCACATCAGATCCAACTCATGGTTGACCCTCTAGAAGTTTAGAAAGGCTGTAAATCATGGATGGATTTGAACTACCTGCATTTGGGATGGCAGTGCAATTCCTTACCACTAAGTCAGAGAAGGAAACAGCTTAGAAAGCGTCTAGAAACGGGCTCCTCCTCCCAGCACTCTCCTAGGCCTTTCAGTCTTCCACTTTAAACACCTCTCCTGTCTCTCAATACCCAATGATATTGTCATCTTTCATTCAACAAATATTTGAACATTTATGTCTATCTGCACACTGGATGCTATTCTATACACTGTTGATACAATCATTTGTGCTCTTAACATTTATATTCTAGAGAAGTAATCATACAATAAATAATAAGTGAAAAAGATGTTGTCAAACAGTAAAAAATATTACAAATGAAGTGAAACAGGATGATGAGTTTATTATACATGCTGGGGATACAGTTAACCCAGACTGGGTGATCAAGGAAAGACTCACCTGAGGACACGACATCTAAAAGTGCTCAAGTGGGGAGGGGACAGAATATTCCAGGCCCCAGGAGCAGTTAAGTACAATAACCCAAAAGAGGAAAGAAGTTAAGCAGGAATAATGTATGATGTAGCTAAACTAAAGAGGAAAGGATCAGAAAATGGCACATCAGAGTGCACCAGCGAATAGAAAGAACTTCGGATTTTACTTTGAGGTTAATGGGAAAACACTGGAGAGTTTCTGGCATAGAAGAAGTGATACCATACTGCTCTAGGATATGTCTGGATAAGTATGAAGAAATACACTTAAGACACTGTTAATAAATGTATTGTTTTTACACTTTAAAAATCTAATGGGGAGCTCTCATAGCAGAGTCCACTGAACCTAGCATTGCTAATCTAAACTGGTCTATGTAGCAGTTGGAATCCACCAGCAGCTCAACAAGATAAAGATGGGCAATATCCTCCCATGTGATATACAGCCTCAAAAACCTGCTGGAGGGTCAGCTATGAGTTGGTTCAGACAGCTGCAAGTTCATTACTTTAGTATAAAAGCTTAATAGAACAATTACAGTCAATAAGTAGAAAACAGGTTATACTGCGAATTAGTAAATTTATCTTGCTTATCGAACAATCTGATCCTGGCTCTAGGATGCTCTCTCTGTGCACCACCATACACTCTTCACAGAATATACAGGGCAAATTCCTGCCTCAGGGCTTTTTCACTAGCTGTGAAGTGTGCCTACCTTCTCTTCTCTTTCCTAAGGCTTCGTTTAAATGATACTTCCTCAGTTATTTTTCTGACAATGGAATTTAAAATTGCACTCCTGATCCTGAGTGTTTCTCTTTTTTTTCTCTTTGCACTTATCACTTCTTAACAAATTCATTTCTTTCCTTACGCTTCTGGTCTGATTCGTCCTACTAGAATGAAAGTTCAATGAGGATAAGAAATGTCATCTGTTCAAAGGTTCATTCCTTCTGCTCAATATACCCCAGGCGTATTTCCTTCTCCCTTCTCCACCCGCAGGCCTGGTAACGGCAGAGTATTAACGTTCTGCTTATCCTGAAAGTCCTTAAGGAACCCACATTGTCCCCTCCTCCTCCCCATTTGCCCAGCACCCCGCGTGTCCTACAGAAGCGCGCTGAGCGGGCCTCTTCCTTTCACGTGACCGGTTCCGGCTCTGTCCTCTCCCCGCTCTCCCACCCGCCTAGGTCAACTCAACTAACTCCTCCGCCCTCTCCCCTCCCCCCTCCCACGTGTCTCCGTGTCCGCAGCCCACGCCAGTGGCGCTCACCGTCCGGGTCCTTCTCGCGGTAGCACTGGTAGTTGCATTCCACTTCCATATTCTCCAGAAAAGCCTTCACCTGTTCTTCGTCCTGGAAGTCCACTAAGCCGGCCATGGCTGACCCTTGCCGGGGTCGTGTCACTGAACCGCAGAGCACTACGTGAGCCAGCGGAAAGGGCGGGGCTTGCGAAAGCAGTGTCGCGAGGTCTGCAAAGGAACTTTGCTCCACCCTCACGCGGTTGGCGGTGGTCACGACTCTTCTGTGCTCATTCTTTTAAAGCGGATGGTGATGTCATTTCTACAGCACTTTAACGTCTGCTTTATGACCTGACGACTTCAGGTTCTGCTTGCTTGTATTTCTCCACTCACCCGTTCATTCATTCACTGAGGAGCCACATTGCATTGGGCAAGTCTGTTCTCAGGGACCTCTCCAAAATACTGAAGAGCAGTGATGTCAGTATGAAGACTAAGGTGCGCCTGATTCAGGTCATGATCTTTTAAATCACTTGCTATGCATTTGACAGTTAGACTGATAGAAGGATGATAGAAGAATTGCTGCTTCTTAATTGTGGTGCTGGGAAAGAGTACTGAATATCCCATGCACTGCCAAAAGAACAAGCATTTACATCTTGGTAAAAGTGCCGCCAAAGTGCTCCTTGGAGGCAAAGATGGGGACACTCTCATACTTTAGGCATGTTGCTAGGAGAGGTTATTCTTTGGAAAAGGACATCATGCTTGAAAAGATTGAGAGTCATGAAAGATAGGAAAACCTCCAATGAGATGAATTGACACAGTAACTGTAGCAATAGGCTTAAATATGTCAAAGATGATGAGGATGGCACAGGTTTCAGGTCTGTTGTTCATATGGTCACTATGAGTTGTATTCGACTTGATAGCACTTAACAACAATAGGGAGCTCTGGTGGCCTCATTTCAAGAAGCTGCACTGCAATCCCAAAGGTACGTGGTTCCAGGCCACTAGCTGCTTCAAAGAAGGGCAGGCAATCCACTGTGCGATTAACTGCCTCCAAAAACCCGTCAAAGGGCCAGCTGTGGGTTGGTTCCGACTCCGTGGTAAACAATAATAGCATGACTAGCCAGTTGCTTGGTTCTAGGACTATAATTGCTAGGGAACATTGTCCCTGTTTTCAAAGTCTCTAGTTTTCCTGAGAACACATTTATTCATTCATGTACTCAAACCATTTTCAGCACCTACTGCATGACATGTAACACGATGGAACCCAATAATGTTAGACCTGTACAAGTGTTGCTGTTGTTTGGTGGCATCCATTACAACTCATAGTAACTTTATGAACAAGTGCACTAAACTCTGCCCTATCTTGCACCATCCTCATGATTGCCCACATATTCAACCCATTGTCACTAAGTCAATCCACCTCCTTGAGGTTCTTCCTTCTTCTCTGACCCTTTCCCTTTCCTAGCACAGTATCTTTTTCCAAGGACTGGCCCGTTCAGACAATGTGAAGGACAAAGTTTAATCATCCTTGCCTTTTTTTTTTTTTCCATCCTTGCCTTAAGGAGTACTCTGATTGCACTCCCTCCGCCACACCTCTGTGTGTTCTTTCGGCAGTCCCTGAGATATTTAATATTCTTTCCCAACATCACAATTCAAAGGCATCAATTCTCGCTTTTTTTTTCCTTATTAATTGTCCAATTTTCAGTTGCATAGGAAACAACTGACAATACCACAGATAGCACCAGGTGCAGATTTGCCTAGTGTAATATATCTTTGGATTTCTTTATTGCTTCTACCAAATGTATTGATCCAAGTAAAAGTAAATACATGACAGCTTCAATCTTTTCTCCATATGTCATAATACTGCCTATTAGTGCAATGGTCAAGATTTTTGTTTCCTTAATATTGAGTTCTTTAATGTTCAATACATCCAAATGTATTAACGGCTATATAGTCTTTGATCTTCTTCAGTTAGTATGTCAGGTCATCTTTATTTTCTGAAAGTAAGGTTGTTGTAATCTGTATAACTCAGGTTATTGATGAGTCTTCCTTTGGTCCTGACATCACAAGCTTCTCTATACAGTCCAACTTCTCAGCATATTGATTGGACAGATTTAGAGAAAGATTTCAACAATCTTTTTTTGTTTGTTTCTCACTATATATTTTTATTTTATTTTATTTTATTTCCATTCATTCACTGTTGCACATTTTCTTCCCTACCCACCTCCTACTCAGTTTGCAGTTCTCTTTGGAAAAAAAAGAAACTCTTCCATTGTTGTACAGTCCTCCCCCACCCCAGTCCACTTTAGTATGCAGCTCTTATTCTGGACTGTTGTCATGCAAGTACTACCTAATCATATATTCCCTAGTTTGCGCTCTTGTGACCTAGTGGTTAGAAACTCCACTGCAATCCTGAAGTCACATGTTTTGAGGCCACTAGCTGCTTCACCACTAGCTGCTCTGTAGGAGAAAGATAGGCAATCTCCTCCCATGCAATTAACTGCCTCTGCAAACCTGTCAAAGTGTCAGCTATGGGTCTGTTCCGATTTGATGGTACACAACAATATTCCCTAGTTCTACTCTGATAACTGCTTCTTAGAGTAGGTTTCTCGTGAGCACTATTACATATTCTGAGATTCCTTTCTTTTCAATGTTAGCTATAATTTGCTATTATCCACACAGTCAAATGCCTCTGCATAATCAAGAAAACAAACACATCTTTGTGGTATTCTCTGTTTTCAACCAAGATTTAGCTGACATCAGCAGTGATATTCCCGGTTCCATGACCTCTTCTGGATGGATTCATTGTGAATGGAAGCTCCATATTGTACTTTGCCAGCCCTTAATAATCTTCAGCACAATTTTACTTACATGTGATAATAACAATATTGTTAGATGATTTCCACACTGTTGGACAACCTTTTTTGGAATGGGAACAAAAATAAATATCTTCTGGTTAGTTGGCCAGGTTTCAAATCTTGGCATAAGCTAGTAAGCATGTCCAAAACTGCATCTGTTTGTATATTTATATAATGTTTGTTGAAACACTATATTTGGTATTCCGTCAATTCCTGGTTTTTGTTGTTTGTGCCATCGAGTCGCTTGTGACTCATAGCAACCCTATGTACAACAGCCCTAAACTCTGCTCTGTCCTGTGCCAATCTCACTGTCTCTGATATACCCATCCCGATTACCCCAGTCACTGAATCAATCCTCCTCATCGAAGGCCTTCCCCTCCTGCACTGTCCCTCCACCCTTCCAACCATGATGTCCCTTTCCAAGGACTGGTCCCTCCTTACAACATGTCCAAAGTATGTTAGACGGAGCCTCAGAATCTTTGCCTCCAAGGAGCAGCCCGGTTTAACCCTCTCTGGGATGAATCTGTTTGTTTTCCTAGTAGACCATGGTACCCTCAATACTCTTCTCCAGCACCACAGCTCAAAGGCATCAATTCTCCTTCTTTTCTCCCTAGTCATTGTCCAACTCTCAGATGCATAACAAGTGATTGCAAAGACCATGGCACAGCTTAGTCTCCAGAGGGACATCATTGCTCTTCAGTACTTTGGAGAGGTCCCTAACAGCAGACTTTCCCATTGCAATATGTCTTTTCATTTCCTGGCTACTGGTGCCAAGAGTGTTGGCTGTGAAGCCAAGCAAACTAAAGCTGTGAACAATCTCAGTCTCTTCACCATCCATCCTGATGCTGCCAATTGGTCCAGTGGTGAGAATCAATTCCTGGGGCCTTATTTACCAGCAATGTGTTCAGTACAGCTTGAACTTTGTCCTTCAGTATCATTTTGTTCTTGATCATATGCCACTTCCAAAAATGGTTCAGTGTTAATCCACCAGATGCTCTGCTGGAGAAGGAGGTCAATCTCCTCCTGTACAAGTTGGATACAACTCAATAGTACACAACTAGAGAAAAAAGTAAATAAATTTTAGAAAAGGTTTAGTGTTATCTAATTCTGTTGTTACAGTGATTATATTCTTTATTATCTTCTTTTGATGCATTGTTCAGTATTTTGTGAATAGAATAATTCAGCATTTGAAGTTGAGTCTTGAATTTGTTTCTCAGTTTTTTTCTGTTTGAGAAATGAAATGTACGGTATTCTTTTCTCTTTTGGTTTTTTTTTTTTTAATTTTTTTATTTATTTATTATTTTTGTGTGCGTGTACCGTCAAATCAGATCTGACTGGTACAGGAGGAGATTGCCCCTCCTTCCCCGGCAGAGCATCTGGTGGATTCGAACCCTGCACCTCTGGGATTCTCTTTTGGTTTTTAACTCCAGATATTTGCACACTTCTTTATACTACTTTGCTTTGTCTTCTCAAGCTGCCCTTGGAAATCTTTTGTTCAGATCTCTTACTCCAGCATTTTTCTCCTTTTCTTTACTATCGCTACCTTTGAGTGCAAGAGTCAAGAGTTTCTTCGGACATGTATTTATTCTTTTCTTTGTAATGACCTTTTGCTTTCTTCATAGACGGTATGCTTGATGTCATCCCGAATCTCATCTGGCTTTCAATCATTAGTGTTTGATGAATCAAATCTATTCTTGAGACAGTTTTTAATTCTGTTGGTATTGACTCAAGGTCATATTTTAGTTTTGTCAACTTGCTTTAATTTTCTTTAGCTTCAATTTTAAGTGTTACGTTAGTAACTGATAACCTGTTTCACTGTCATCTGCTGGCCTGCTTTTGACAGCTGATACTGAGCTTCTCCATCAACTGTTTCCACAGATTGAATCAATCTGATTCCTGGTAGTCCATCAGGTGAGGTCAACATATATAATCATTGTTTATGAGTTGTTTTGGTTTTATTTGGGTTTGGGTTTTGTGATTGGTTTTTGGTTTATTTTTTTAAAAATTTTAAAAATTTTTATTGTATTATTTTTTTACATGTACCAACAAATCAAATCTGACTGGTATGGGAGGAGATTCCCCTCTCCTTCTCCAGCAGAGCATCTGGTGAATTTGAACAGCATACCTCTGGGATTGCAGTGCAGCATCTTGCCACTAGGCCACCAGAGCTCCCTATGATTGGTTGTTTTTAAAAAAAGATATTTGCAGTGAATAAACTATTGTATAAAATTCATGCGATCTCCAACCTCATTTCTGTCATGAAGTACATATTTTCTAACCC